TCTACCCTTTCAGGCCCATTTTTTACTTGTAGTCCTTGCTGTGCTACCTTTGGTATCTGTATCATTTCCTCCAAAGAAGTAATACACCTAAAGTGTTAGGTCCTTTCATTATCCATGTTACTCCCACACCCACCTAAGTCTCTCCCTCTACCTTCTAAGAATCTTTCCCCAAGCTTTTATCTTAGTAACACATATTTGCTTTTGTATTCTCCCAAACCCACCCTCAACACCCTCCTCTCCTCCCAAGAAATAACCACACTTCTAAGGGCACAATACTTGGTTTTTGACCTTTCCAAAATCAGTGTAAATATCATTGTGTCAGTGTACATAATTGCTTTTTAGAGCTAAGAGGCAAAACCAGGTTCCAAATAACTTTTGTTACACAGACAAGTGACTTGTTCAAGCTGGCTATAGATTTTCCTGGGATTTATTACTGGCTATTCTATTTTGTTTGTTTGTTAATCCTCACCTGAGGATATTTGACCTGATTTAAAAATGGGCAAAAGACTTTACCAGGCACTTGTCCAAAGAAAATATACAAATGGTCAATAAGCATATGAAGAAATGTTTAACATCACTAATCATTAGAGAAATAGTAATCAAAACCACAGTGAGATATCACCTCACACCCATTAGGATAGCTACTATCAAAAAAATCCCTCAGTGTTGGTGAGGGCGTGAAGAACCTGGAACTCCTGTGTATTATTGGTGGGAATGTAAAATGGTGCAGCCACTATGGAAAATAGTATGGCAGTTCGTCAAAAAATTAAAAATAGAATGACCATATGATCCAGTCATCCCACTTCTAGGTATATACACAAAAGAGGTGAAAACAGGAACTCGAACAGATATTTGTACACCCATGTACAGCAGCATTTTTCACAATAGCCAAAAGGGGGAAGCAGCCCAAACATTGGCCAACAAATGAATGAATATACATACAATGGGATACTATTCAACCCTAAAAAGAAAGGAAATTCTGACATATGCTACAATATGATTGACCTTTGGGGACATTATTTCAAGTGAAATAAGCCAGTCACAAAAAGACCAGTGTGGCTCAGTGGTTGAGTGTCTACCCATGCACCAAGAGGTTGCCAGTTCGATTCCCAGTCAGGGCACATACCAGGGTTGCGGGCTGATCCCTGGTGGGGGGCTTGCAGGGGGAAACCCATCAATGATTCTCTCTCAAAATAAATGTTTCTATTTCTCTCTCTCTCTCCCTCTCCCTTTCTCTATATATAAAATTAATTTTAAAATCTTTTTTTAAAAGACAAATACTGTATGATTCTACTTATATGGGGTATCTAGAATAGTTAAATTCATAGAGACAGAAAATAGAACAAGTGGTTGCCAGGGGCTTGGGGAGGAGTAAAGGAGAAGTTTTTATCATGTATATAAAGATTCAGTTTTGCAAGATGAAAGCATCCTGGAGGTCAGTTGCACAAAAATCTAAACATATTTAATACTAAACTATATACTTAAAATGGTTAAAATGGTAAATTTTGTGTTATGATAAAGAAACAAGCATCTGAAGTAATAGACTTAACTTTTAAATCTATTGCCACATTTTTATTTTACATAAAGTATATTATTAACTCTCAATATTAACATGCCCAGAATGCTATCTATACTAATAAAAGGGTAATATGCTAATTAGACTGGACATCTTCCAGACGTCCTTCCAGACAAAGCCATGGTGGCGGGGGCCGAGGCAGAGGTGGTTAGGGGAGATCAGGCTGGCAGGGAAGGGCAGTCAGAGGTGATCAGGCTGGCAGGGGAGGGCAGTTAGGGGGCGATCAGGCTGGAAGGGGAGGGCAGTTTAGGGGGTGATCAGGCCAGAAGGCAGGGGAGCAATTAGGGGCAAATTGGCAGGCAGATGAGCAGTTAGGGGCATTAGGCCAGCAGGCAGAGGTGGTTAGGGGTGATCAGGCAGGCAGGCAGCGAGTGGTTAGGAGCCAGCAGTCCCGGATTGCAAGAGGGCAGTCGGACCCCCCGAGGGGTCCCGGATTGGAGAGGGTGCAGGCCGGGGCTGAGGATCACCCCACCCTCCGTGCACAAATTTTGTGCACCGGGCCTCTAATAATATTATAAATATTAAAGTAAAGGTATAATTTGTAGGATTGAAAATATCTATAAAATAGTGAACTTTATACATAATGCTTACATTTTGTAAAATTAATAAATTTATAAGAATGATTACTAAAGAATGTACATAGTAATGAAAATAAGTTCATAGCAAAGCCTGTTTCATTTCATGTTAATACTCCCCTTGAAAGTTTCAGAGAGCTTCACAAATCTCAGGGCACTAGAAAGAAAGGATTTCATCTGTTTGAACCATAAATTGCACAGCAAAACCCTCATCACATGTTTCCTGAAAAATGCTGGACTGGATGCTAAGTGCAGTGTGGCACAGATCCCAGGTGCTTCCAATGCTTACCTACCCTCTTACTCTTTAGTCTCAATATGAGCAAGAAACCTGAAGTACAAATTAGCAAATTTGAAGAGATGTTTCATAAAATTTAGTATTTGGCATCTAGATCTCAAATACAGATTTATCCATTTACATCCAAGAAAAAAATATATACATTTTTAATTTAGAATTAAAGTTCAAATACAGTTATATTCAATTACATTCTTCATTTGATCTAATAATGAGCTATTTGAGAACATAATCCTGTGTCAAAACAGTAAACTAAGATTATTGGTGTTGTTATATTCAAAGCAAAAATCAAGGAAATCACTAAATAAAAAATACAAAGATTAGAGATAAAGAATGTCAATCTTTGGTGATACCTGTAAAAGGCAGATTCCTAAAACCTGCCTCTGCTGGGGTCCAATCCCAGCGGGTCCAGGGGTCCCCAAAGGTGTGGACGGAGTCGGCGAAGAAGGAATGACACGAAGACAGCCTTCAGTTGATCAGCAGCCTAGTCAGGACCTCTAGCCAGGATCTCCAGCCAAAGTTCTGGTCGGAGTTCTGGTTAGGAACTGATCGGGATCTGATGTTTATTGTCTTGTTACATCTATATTTATACCAGCCGATTTTAATCCTGTCAATTTCTATTACAAAGGTTAGGGCGTTTCTTATCTCCATTCCAGGGAGTAAAGATTATGTAGCTTAACTACCCACCTGGCACTTAATTAAGGGGTTGTATCCCCTCCCTAACCTCAGGGAAAGATCCCCACCTGGGGAAACAACCTTTCTCGGAGAGGTGACCTTGGTTAAAACACATGGCGCTAAAGAGAGCAAACATATTAAAAACAATATGCTATATATGCCAGGTCCCTTGAAACATATGCTGTGCAGATGTTTCTTTTCTGCAGCGACTGTGTCAAGCAGCAAGGATGGACTGGCTCCCGGCATGCCTCCTACCATTCTGTTCCTGATGTTGACACACTAGATTGAGGCCTAGTCATTTGAATTTTTAATGTGCATTTTTAACAACACTCTAATAACACTTTGAGGGGGGAAATGCAAAACACACCACCAGTAAGATATAAATTACAAAGTCTTAGAGGTATACCTTATAAGGAAATTCAGATATCATTCTATTTAACCTGATTAATATAAGAACTCCTTCTACAATACTGACTGATTGACTGATTTCAATAAGAATACCAAGATTTAGGAAACACCTATCAGAAAGGATACATGCATCCCTATGTTCATAGCAGCACAGTTTACAATAGCTAAGATTTGGAAACAGCCTAGGTTCCCATCAGCAGATAAGTGGATTAAAAAACTGTGGTACATCTACACAATGGAATACTATGCTGCTATAAAAAAGAAGGAACTCTTACCATTTGCAACAGCATGGATGGACCTGGAGAGATTATGCTAAGCGAAATAAGCCAGTCAGAGAAAGATAAATATCACATGATCGCACTCATTTGTGAAATATAATGAACAACATAAACTGATGAACAAAAATAGAGCCAGAGACCTAGAAGCATCAATCAGACCGTCAAACCTCAGAGGGAAGGCAGGGGAGGGTGGGTATGGGGGGACGGGGGGTAAGAGATCAACCAAAGGACTTGTATGCATGCATATGAGCATAACCAATGGACACAGACAGTGGGGGGTGAGGGCATATGCTGGGGAATGGGAGCGGCCGGGGAGAGGTCAATGGGGGAAAAAGGAGACTTATGTAATACTTTAAACAATAAAGAATTTAAATTTTAAAAGAAAGAATACCAAGATTTATATAGTCAAATAAATAATATATGCTTCTCTGTAAGATATGAAGCCTAACCTCTTATTTTAACAATATCATTGTTTAAAACTTAGAGTCACCTCTTCTTAGAATTAACTTTTTCAATATGGAATATGAGCCTTCAAATACTAGTACATATAAAAATTACAAAAAGAAAAACTGGTTTTGTTACATTATTGCTCCTTCTGTGTGTGTGTGTGTGTGTGTGTGTGTGTGTGTGTTGTTTTTTTAATCCTTACTTGAGGATATTTTTCCATTGAATTTTTTTTTTTTTTTTAGAGAGAGTGGGAGGAAGGATAGGGAGAGAGAGAGAAACATCAGTGTCAGAGACACATCCATTGGTTGCTCCCCCTCACCCTGCACTCACCTCACCAAGACTGGGGATCAAACTGTTACCGAGGTACATGCCCTTGATTGGGAATTGAACGCACAACCCTTCATTCCTCGGGCCAATACTCTAACCACTGAGCAAAATTGGCCAGGGCTCCTTCTGTTTTTTTATTAAAATTAGAGCTCCCCTGATTCATCCAGTTCTAAAGTTCCTACTACTTTTCAAATACACCATCACAGAGTTGAGATTTGCCACCACAGAAAACAGGATGTTTTAAAGAAAGGTAACAGAATCAACATACAGAGAAAATATTTAATGTTTTGAGTAGAAGATAGAGAATGGCCTCTCAAAAAGATAATGCCCACTTGGATATGTAAGTTCAACTGGGCTTTTTTAAGTATATTACTGAACAGTACTGAACACATATCAATAGTATTAAAAAGAGAAGACATTACCTGTGACCACTCTTCACTCGCCTCCTGCGGGGTTGTTTTTGATCACTTCACTATCAGAGGGACAGAAAAAAATTTCTCCAACACTTGGCACTGCTGGAAACTCCAGGAAGACTTTTAAAATCTATAGAAATAAAATAAAAATGTTCTACAATCATAAATAAACTATAAAAATCCAATCTAAGTTTTCCTAGTTTTTTCCTCCTCCCATTTTCCACCATTTGTTGTGCACTGAGTGGGCTCTTCTCAGATGGTGTTTACTTTATCATTTAAAAAATAAGCAAAAACTAAATCTTTATTTAGAAATCTGAATGCCAGCCAAAAATGAGAGACTCTCATTGGGTAATAGAAAGTAGAGAGGAGGATTCTTCCATCCTCCAAAAGAAGTTAAGTAATTATATGCTTCTTTTACAAGAGGGAAAAAAAGTGAAACTAAATAAATCCATATCCATGCATCAGGAGCATCATGTTAGTTAATGACAACAAAATAAAAAATAGCAAAGAGAGGACCATAAATAACTTTCATAAACAATTTTTTCAAAATATGCAAGACTCCCAAAATATTCCCAGGAACTGATGCCGTCCATTGTAATAACCTGGTTGTTATTTAACAGAAAAGGAGTGGAAAGGAAGACCAAATAATACAGGCATGCCATTTATTCACTCTGAGTCTTTCCCTGCTGACTGATCCAGCGGTTCTCAACCTGTGGGTCGCGAACAATGAAAATACATCCTGCATATCAGATATTTACATTACGGTTCATAACAGTAGCAAAATTACAGTTATGAAGTAGCAACGAAAATAATTTTATGGTTGGGGGTCACCACCACATGAGGAACTGTATTAAAGAGTCGCAGCATTAGGAAGGTTGAGAACCACTGGTAGACAAAGGCAGTTTAGACGCATGCCCAGTAAGGTCTAAGTGAGACGATGGGAAGGTGCTTTCCCATAAATCACACCTGAAAGCGAGTCAGTGGCCAAGATGGGAGTGGCCACTGCAAGGGCGCAAAATCTAAATATATAAACTTCCAAACAAAGGAAGTCCTCTCTCCTCTCTTGGCTCCAGGGAGCCTGGCTCCTGTGACTCCTGCTGCAGGGGCACGCTCCCAGAAACCAGCATGGCTCAGGGCCATGTGCACCACACGCGGACTAATGGACTTTATTTAGCTCGGATACTGAACTACACCAGCTGCAACATGGAATAGAAACTCTGGACACTGTCCCTCCTCTGGCACTGCTGGACTCCAGCTGCCCCCCTTTCAGGACTGGCTTGGGGAGATGGGACATTGGAAACTGAGGAATGTAACTCCACTCCAATAAAATCTTCCACATCTCATCCTCCCATGGGGGCTCCTGAAAATGCTTATTTCAGCGGCACAAGAACCTCCACCTCATTCTCATGAGTGACCTGGGAATTTAATTCTCAGGTGACAGTACCTTTGACTTATCTAGACATTGACAGTTCAAAGGTCAGGTTTTTTGCCATCCCATGGGCAAAGTTTACTTTGGTTCTAGATACACATCTCATATCATCAGGATGACTGGGAAGATAACTTTCACAGCATAAATACATGGCTTGTGCAAATACTCCCTATTGTACAACCAGAAGAACATGATTTTTAAGAAGGTGCGGAAATTATCCTACCTGAGAGAAATACAGAGAACACCTAGAGGCATCCAGGACAGCATAACAAAAAGACCAACCCCAAACACTTGGAGATATAAAAGGCAGAAGCTAATGCAAATGCTAAACGAAACCATTATTCAATGTCAAAATCGGCAAAAGCTAGAGAAAATTTCCAAGAAAGATTTAAAAACAAACAATACTACACTTAATAAAGCATGGAAACCATTTATTTGTCCAATAATGGAGGGGAGTAAGTAAATTTGATTCAATTATATAATTTACTTAACCACAATTTTGTCAGCCATCAAAAAATTTTGTGTTTATAATAAAGTGGGGAAATGCCAATTAGCATATAAAAAAGAAAAAGACAGGGTACAATGTTGTAATTACCCATAATCATAATTACTTACACAAAAGCAAGAAACAAGATGCAACTTGTTCTGATGTAGTCATATTACGTAAAATATTTCCCCCTCTTTAGATGGGTTAAGGTGAGCAATTCAAGTCAGAGTCTAGTACAACAAATAAGTCTTCAAAATCTCTGTTTAAGGGTTTCCCAAACCCCAAAGGATGAGGCTTTCATTACTATAATAATTTTTCTGCAACAGTCCAATGTATTAAAAGATGGCTTCCTAAAAAGTTACTAGAAGAGGTTTTGAATGTGTGTATTTTTATCTACACTTGCCTTAAAGGCATGGAATGGAATACCTTTTCTTATAACAAATGTTCCACGAAAGGTAAAAATGGGGTGAGGGGTTCCTCAGAGTGACCTAAATCTTCAAAACTAGGCACAGTGGTGGTAGTGACCAGGCATAAGAAGAGTGAGTATGGGGCATGAAATGTAAAGGATAACATGTGTGGTGCCAGATGCATACTAGAGTTACTGGGGGGTCACTTCCTAAATTATATGTCTAACCTTCATGCTCTACCCCTGAAACTAATACAAAATAATACTGTCAACTGTAATTGAAAAAAATGAAAATAAAGGAAGACTAAAGGATAACATTTCACATGCAAATAAACAAAATTCAAATTAAAATTTCCTCAGGACCTTTAAATCTGCCTCCTTCACTCTAATCCAGTGGTTCTCAACCTTCCTAATGCCGAGACCCTTTAATACAGTTCCTCATGTTGTGGTGACCCCCAATTTCATTGTTACAAATTGAACATAATTAAAGCATAGTGATTAATCACAAAGACAATATGTAATGATATATGTGTTTTCCGATGGTCTTAGGCGACCCCTGTGAAAGGGTCGTTCGACCCCCAAAGGGGTCGCAACCCACAGGTTGAGAACCGCTGCCAATTAATCATTTATTTAAGCACCTGGGACCTTGCAGTATAATTCATATTCAAAACTCTGGGCATTTCATTGCAAGAGGTTTTACAAGTCACAGAATCCTCCTTCCTCCATAATCCCACATGAGCAGTTTTAGCGCCATGTACGCGAGTGACACAGGCTCTTCCACTGCCTCATAAGGATTACAGATTGCTCCCAGATGCTTTTCAGGCTATTTCAAGCCTTTCCTCGTTCGGTGACTCTTGAATTATGAAAGGGCATCTCTAATTCATGAGAAATGCTTCTCCCATCTTACTGTTCATTATCATTTATCCTCCCTTTACACACTACATTTTTAAGCACCCCCACACGCAGGCTTTTACTTAGGTAATAAGGCATCACTATGTATCGCTAAGAGCTTTACTGGGAACCCCTCTTATATTTTACCATCATGATTCCGCCAGCAGCAACTTCAAAGGAAGCCGTGTCCTTTGACAGTAATGCACAGAATGACATCGAAAGCAAGGTTAAACGGAACTCAAGTAAATGAAAAGGACTCTAAAAATTCACTAGGTCTTGATAATTCACTTGGTTGTCATCTCATTTAAAAACAAAATATGTCTCCTGTTAAAAAAAGGAAAGTTGGCAGCTAGCGATTCAGTCACACTCAAATCTGTCCCCAGGCAAGTGCTTTCCTCCTAACACAACATTCTACCTCCACATAATCAAATCCTATCCATGCTAACAATCCTTCCATGCAATAACTATGTCACATCCCTAATTTCAACAGAGGAACAAAATTGAAAGCTCATTTACAGATGGCATGAATTCACTGAATTTAGACCTCTACTGTGCTGAGTTCAGAAATCAGCTAATAAGCAGGGAGTGTGCAAAAGGCACCAAATGAACAAAGGGGTGGGGAGGGAGGGGTGATGATAATTATTATTCACATCATGGATTTCTCCCTATAACAGTAAAACAAATGTAGGAGGTGTGCATTTATCCATAGCGCTGCATTAATTGACCTGTGCTTTCCTATAGGGTAATTAACAAATCAATCAATGAAGGCATAAGTCTCAAACAACTCATCGAGAGTTTTCAAATACATGGAGTTGACGATGAGCTGATTATTGAATAATTTCATTCTCCAAAAGAGCTGAAGTGAGACACAAGGTTATAGTCACATGTGGAAACTTGCAGAGTAGAACAAAATATTCTACGTGGGCCCGCAATCATCACTGACTTGATTAAGTATATTAATAGTAACTCTGCCTATTAAAATGGATGAATCTAAATCCATCCCTGAATTTTACAAATGACAAAACTGAAGCAGAGGGAGACTAAGTGGCCTGTTCAAAATGAAGGACTAGCTGGTAAACGTTGAACACAAAGGTAGAATCCTTATTTTCCAACCCACCATCATGCCCTTCTCTACAGTAAGTTCACAATTTCTCAACTAGCTGCCCATTAAATTGATTTCATTCCTCCTTCCAAACAGCAAAGCTTTTAAAAGCTTTGGAAAAGTTGAATCAAATGAACCTTCAATCTTCAATTTCCATTCAATCCACCCCTGAAATTTTTACATTAATCATATATAATTCTCTGTTTTACTCAAGAAACCCAGTGCAATTTAGATGACTTTGGGAGGGTCTCAACCACCAAACAAATTAGTAAATTGCAGCATATCAGAGGAGGAAAAGCAGAGGGGGAAAGGGGGAGAGGGGGAGAGGGGGGGAGAGGGAGAGAGAGGGAGAGAGAGGGAGAGAGGGAGGGAGAGAGAGGGAGAGAGAGAGAGAGAGAGAGAGAGAGAGAGAGAGAGAGACTGACTGACTACAGGCATCTGAAAAATAAACCAAGAATACTGATTTATTAAAATAAATAATGAAGGTGAACAAAACCAAAATTCAAGTACTAAAGTGATGTTTTCCAACATGACAACTCCTTGTGAGATGTTTCTTAAAGAAAAAAAAGTAGTAATTGTTTAAGGTTCTATATTCAAATAAATTTGGAAAATGTTGCATTTTAAATATCCCTCTTGAATATGAACAAAGCACATAATGTGGGTAAGGTCCTAGGAAGGCCTGCAGGAGGGAACCCTGCTTTGTGTAATCCAATGTGTCCATCACATTGGGCAGCCTTGGCTTGCAGAGCTTGCACAGGCGTCCTCCAAGAAACACTTCCTACTCTATTGTGAGGTGCTTTTCTTAAATCTGTAAT